CGTTTTTTAATTTTTCATTTTGGTGCACCTCTAGTCTTTTTACCAAGGTGCACTTGCTCTACTACAAGCTCAAGGTATTCACATTGTGGAGTGTTTGGATGACTGCCTGTTGAAGGTTCGTTTGGTCCATGCCCTGCTTGCCAATGTCCAACAGAAAGTGCAGACTCTGCAGAGCTTTTGGATGGATCCTCAACTTCCAGAAATTGACATTGGGTCCATTCCTCCAGCAAGCAGAGCCAATTTCTGGACTGTCTTTTGCGCCAAGAGTGCTCAATCTCTTTCTGCTGCCCCTGTTATGAACGAACAGGAATCCTCTATGCCGAGTGCCCCTGTTCATTCATAATTTGTTTATATAGTACTGTGTTTACTATAGCCACAATCCTGAATGAACAGGGCGTGATGTAGAGCACTTCCTGTTCATTCATAATTGGGGACATCGTAAACATACTTACTGATCGCTGACTGCTTGTACCCGCTCTCAATTTGACTCGCTGTCACAGGATGCAGTGGTGGGAGGAGAGCTCTGTCTATTTTGACAGTGAACTACTTCCCCACACTGCTGCCTCAACCACCTGTGACAGCTGCCAACTTGGCCTCCGAGCAGTGCCCAGCAAGGAGTAGAGAAACCACAGATGCACCACAGTTTCGGCCGAAAGATGGTACTTTTGTCATTTTTCCAAAAGTGCCATTTTTGTCCGCTTTATGTTTCAGCAGCCCAAATTTTGGTTCATCCCTACTGGTCACTATTGAACAGGTCCAAGAACAGCCATGACAACAGGTAGATGTGTGAGAATGAAGCATGTCAGGCGAGTTTGAGTGTAGTACCACCGATATAGGGCTTTGTGGGAGTTCCCTGGAATTTTTTTGTGTAATATCTTTTTATTATTTATACAAAATATTCATACCATAATAAGAAGTATAACAAAGCATCAACATTCACATATCTCGTTTACATACAAATTTAACTTCTCATCATCACCACAACTTACAACATCCCACACTATATACTTAATTCTTACATACATATGTTAACATAACCACCCAAATTTCCTCCCTATGCCATTTCCATTTACTTGTTACCCCTTACTATTTATTGGAGGGATGCGGTGGCTACAAAAAAAATTTCATTTTCCTTAATTCACTCTCATACCCAAACAACAAAACAAAACACCAATGTCTGAGGCTGGGGAATCTTTGTGTTTTTGTATTCTGCCTTTTTATTCCTCCCTTTTCCTCATGTTATTCTTCCTTTCCAACATATTTCTACTTTCACCTAATCTCATAGGAATTGCTTTAATGTGCTAGTTGTTAAGAAATCTTTCCAAGGGCTCCAGGTTTCACAGAATTCAGGATATCTATCTAACAGTCGAGAGACGTAAGTTCCTCCATCCTCATAATAAAATTTACTTTGCCGACCCACTCCCTAATCTGTGGCCTCGATGAGGATCTCCAATATCGTGGTATCACCGTTCTGGCTGCCACTAAAAGATGTTGCATTAGGCCTCTTTTACCCTTGCGGATAGCTCCCGGTATAATTGAAAGCAAAGCTATTTCTGGTGTTACTGACCAGTTTATCTCAATAAGCTTCTCGCATATATTAACTATGGTTTCCCAATATGGTCTAATCAGTTCGCATGACCACCAAATGTGTAGCATATTTTGCTCTTCGTGGCCGCATCTCCAGCATTGCTTTGATATAACTGGGACACGCCCAAATTGTTGCAGCGCCTTCAAAAGTGCGGGAAAGGCTATCCTCGGATTGAAGATATAGAGAAGTGTATCGTCTGCAAACAAACTCACTTTATAGCACTTATCTCCTACCTCTATGCCCCTAATATCTTCATTCATGCGCAAAGCCTTAGCCAGATGTTCCATTGCTAATACATATAGGAATGGAGACAGCGGACATCCCTGTCTCGTCCCATTCGTAATTTGCACTGATTCTGATAGATATCCATTAACCCGTATTCTTGCAGTAGGGCAGGAGTAAAGTGCTAAGATCTTTGCTATAAAGGAAGAAGGCATCCTAGTCTGCTTTATGTTGCCTCAAATCTCCAATCCAAGCGATCAAACGCCTTCTCCATCTATCGAGAGCAAAGTGGAATCTTTCGTGTTTGCGCCAAGTGAATCAAAGAGTGTCTTTATTGTATTATATCGTCCCTCCCTACCCGGGACAAAGCCTACCTGGTCCAAATGGATAAGAGATGGAATATGTAATTGGAAACGAATAATATCTTAGCATATATTTTTAAATCCACATTTATTAAGGATATTGGCCTATAGCTTGCACACTGGGTCGGGTCTTTCTGTTCTTTAGGTATGAGTACTATATGTGCCTCTTGTGTTTGTCTTGTAAAAGAACACCCCTCTGAGATAGCATTATAAACTGAAGAATTGGGGCCAACTCCTTTCTAAATTCTTTATAGAATGCCCCTCCATACCCATCCGGACCAGGGCTCTTTCCAGAGGGCAAGGACGCAATCGCATTCTCTATTTCTTCCAAAGTAAATGGGGAACAAAGGGATTCTACCGTGTTAGTATCTAATTCTGGTAATGCCGTATTATTTATATATTCTTGAAGTTGTTTATATCCTGTACTATTATCCCTATCCGTGAACCTATTCCCTATATTATATAACTCCCGAGTAATATCGGTGAAAGGATTTCGCAATAAGCTCTGAGGTATGCACAAGGCCTCTAGTTGGACATTTAATTTTTGGAATATATGTTTTCTTCCGTTTATCTCTGATAGATAGTGCTAGTGATCTACTACATCTGTTTCCAAACTCATAGAGAGAGCGAATAGCACAGTCTTTATAGCGTTGATATATGTCCAGCATCTTGTGCAACTCGCTTCTCTTCCGTTGTATAGAAACAAAGGTAGTTGGATCCTTTTACTCTCTTATGTTGTTGCTCCAGCCCATGGATTTCTTCCAATAGGGTTTTTATAGACCATTCTCTATCCTTTATACGTGCCCCATGGGCAATTAGGACACCTCGCATTACACTCTTTAAGTGCTTCCCATTTTATCGGCAATGATGTATTATCGTTTAAATGATCATCTATAACATTTTTAATAGTGCCAACGACTTCAGCCCACACTACGGGGTCCTGTAATAAGCTCTCGTTAATCGCCACAAGGAGACAGGTTTAACCAATCCCGATAGACATATCGAGAAATACACCGGGGCTTGGTCTGACCAAATCTGTGTCCCAATATGTGCTTTGGGAGACCAACTCAACATACAATGTGACACCAAAAAAAAATCAATTCTGCTATATGTTGAAGAATGACAAGTATAATCTCTAATAGCCGGGTTTAAAACCCGCCAAATGTCTACCAATTGCAAATAATGCAAAATGTATTTATTTGTGATATTGAAATATGTTGATTTCCCCCAACTGTATCAACTGCTGGCTCAAGCGTAAAGTTGAAATCTCCTCCTAATACCATTACCCCCTCTGCAAATTCTTCCAACCTCATCAATATCGATGTAAACATCCTTGCCTGACCTTTATTCAGCATGTATAAGTTAGCTAATGTAAATACTTTATTATTCAGTCTACATTTCAAAAAAATATACCTGCCTTCATCTATTATCTCTTGTATCCTTTCAAAAGGCACAGAAGCATGAATCCCTACTGCTACTCCTCTAGATTTATTATAGGGGCAATTGCTTGTAAACCAATGTGAATAATATTTAGTTCCTAAGGAAGGGGCTCTTAACCCTTTCGCTGCCAAGGACGTATGGCATACGGACCTACAAAAGTGCTTCCAGCTGGCCAGCTCCGTATGCCATACGGACCTGGCATTTACAGTTCTACTATAAGCTGATGGTTGCTTTAGCGACCATCAGCTTATAGTAGAACTGTTCAGCAGACTGTCCCCTTTAAATTAATAGCTGTCATCAGCGGCTCACAAGCCGCTGATGACTGCTATTTATCAATACCGGGCGCACACCCCGCCGGCATCTGGAGTCTCTCATCCGTCCCTGGAGCCATCCCAGGGAGGGATGAGAGACTCCATGGATCCCCGCTGCTTGTAGGGTCTGTGGCAGCGGGGATCCGTACAAAAATCACCGGCGGGGTGGTCGGGGGGGTCCCGGGAACGGGCGGCGGCTGGCCGCAATTCAGGATGGCCGAGCGGTGTTCCGATCCGAGCCGCTGTCATCCTGTCAGTTTTTGGATGACAGCGGCTCTGTGTAGCGTGGCACACAGACACACACACACACACACACACAGACACACACACACACACACAGACACACACACACAGACACACACACACACACACACACACACACACACAGACACACACACAGACACACACACAGACACACACACAGACACACACACAGACACACACACACCTTAATTCCCGGCCGGTCGGGTGGACTCACGCGGGCCTTCATGCTCTGCCAGTGTTGCCAATCGCGGCACAGAACCCGGCCCACGTAATCATGCCATGTGCTGCAGCACTGTGAGCCCAGGGGGCACAATGACATCTCCCCAGGGGACGGGTTCATGACAGTCTGGGCCCACTGGTATTGGGCTAAATGACACTGGCCACCATTCAACCCAGAAGAGGAGCGCCATCTAGTGGAGGAGAGGGCAGCACTACACCTTCAGGTTCCCCTTCCCCGGAATGCCTATTACAAAGGGCCACATAAATGAAGCATTGCGTGACATACCACTCAGACCCTATTCCTTAAGGCTCCACCCCTTTCCAATATCAGTGGGCCCTGCTAAAATATAAGTGTAGAATCAATGATACTAATATAAATAAGTGATGCGATTGATGGTACACCACAGGGGTATCCATACCTCGGCCCTCCAGCTGTTGTGGAACTACAGGTCCCATAAGGCATTGCAAGACTCAGCTGCAGTCACAGACATGACTTCCAAAGGCATGATAGGATTTGTAGTTTCAACACAGCTGAAGGGCCGAAGTTTGGCTACCCCTGGTAAACTGTAAGAACACACGCACACGCACACACGTGATATCTCACCCGGCCTCAATGAAGTGATTGATGGCTGCATCCAGCTGTTTCTGCTGCACCAGGAAGTCCCCCCAGGACTCTTCTAGCTTCAGCACCTCCGTAGGAAACACCACGCGTGCCAGCTCCACGGCTGGGGACAGGAGACACAAATCACCAATAATCAGTTCCATATCCCAATACAGGGATCAATGGGCCCTACAAAAGCCTACAACATCCCCGAGAGCCCAATGACTTCATATCCACTTATTTCATTTCCTCAACGATGACACTTTGGCAGCCAATCTTGGGGGTGGAGCCAGAATTATTAGCACCGCCTCCCAGAAAGCATTGCAAGAGAAATAAGGGACCGCTGTTGGGCCGCCTGTAGGACCAATTCCCTCTGTGGGAGCTTCGCTATGCCTGGGTCCCACAGGCACCATTTTTATGTGCTCTTATCAAGTTTCAATAGTGACCAAGTCCGTAAATGTCTACCTGAGGACCCCCCCAAAGTCTGTCAAATGACCACCAGTACGGGACCCCCAATGTCAGATCACCATCAGTCTTGGTCCCCCAATGTCAGATCATCATCAGTCTTGGTCCCCCAGTGTCAGATCACCATCAGTCTTGGTCCCCCAATGTCGGGCCACCATCAGTCTTGGTCCCCCAATGTCAGGCCACCTTCAGTCTTGGTCCCCCAATGTCAGATCATCATCAGTCTTGGTCCCCCAATGTCAGATCACCATCAGTCTTGGTCCCCCAATGTCAGATCATCATCAGTCTTGGTGCCCAATGTCAGGCCACCATCAGTCTTGGTCACCCAATATCAGATCACCATCAGTCTTGGTCCCCCAATGTCAGGCCACCATCAGTCTTGGTCCCCCAATATCAGGTCACCAACAGTCTGGGACCCCACTTTTAGGCCATCAGTCTGGAACCCCCAATGTCAGGCCACCATCAGTCTTGCTCCCCCAATGTTAGGCCACCATCAGTCTGGGACCCCACTTTTAGGCCACCATTAGTCTGGAACCCCCAATGTCAGGCCACCATCAGTCTGGGACCCCCAATGTCAGGCCACCATAAGTCTGAAACCCTCAATGTCAGGCCACCATCAGTCTGGAACCCCCAATGTCAGGCCACCATCAGTCTGGAACCCCAATGTCAGGCCACTATCAGTCTGGGACGCCCAATGTCAGATTAACTACAGTATAGGACCCCCAATGTTCTGCTCACCTTTCCTGAAAGCGTTGGCCTTGCAGTAACATTCCAGTGCCCGGCGGCTGTTATTAATCTTTTCTAACAAGTCTCCGGCCTGGAAACAAGGAATTATATTATCAGGAAAACATCTACAATGCAAACGCAGAACATAATACAAATGTGGGGAGGGACACGGGGCTATACTGCTGGAGATCATTGAGGGACACAGGGCTATACTGCTGGAGACCATTGAGGGACACAGGGCTATACTGCTGGAGATCATTGAGGGACACAGGGCTATACTGCTGGAGATCATTGAGGGACACAGGGCTATACTGCTGGAGATCATTGAAGGACACGGGGCTATACTGCTGGAGATCATTGAGGGACACGGGGCTATACTGCTGGAGATCATTGAGGGACACAGGGCTATACTGCTGGAGACTTCAGGACATCCAAAAGCAGTCAAACTGAGGGGTGGGCAATACCACAAAAATGTGTTGGTGTGTGATACCTTTAAACCCCCCATGTTTGATTTCATTTCATAGTATATGCTATAGGAGTGTGATATCAACAACCCTCTGCTGAAATTTGCCTGGATTTTAAGTGTCCGTTACCTTAATTACTAAGAGATCTAGAAGGGTCTACAGAGAATGTGAGAGGAGTTCTGGAAGGGTCTACAGAGAATGTGAGAGGAGTTCTAGAAGGGTCTACAGGAAATGTGAGAGGAGTTCTAGACGGGTGGACAGAGAACATGAGAGGAGTTCTGGAAGGGTCTACAGAGAATGTGAGAGGAGTTCTAGAAGGGTCTACAGGGAATGTGAGAGGAGTTCTAGAAGGGTGGACAGAGAACGTGTAACGAGTTCTAGAAGGGTCTACAGAGAACGTGGGAGGAGTTCTAGGAGGGTCTACAGAGAATGTGTGAGGAGTCCTAGAAGGGTCTACAGAGAATATGAGAGGAGTTCTGGAACGGTCTACAGAGAATGTGAGAGGAGTTCTGAATGGGTCTACAGAGAATGTGAGAGGAGTTCTGGAAGGGTCTACAGAGAAAGTGGGAGAAGTTCTGGAAGGGTCTACAGAGAATGTGACGGGAGTTCTAGAAGGGTCTACAGAGAACGTGGGAGGAGTTCTGGAAGGGTCTACAATGAACATGAGAGGAGTTCTGGAAGGGTCTATAGAGAATGTGAGAGAAGTTCTGGAAGGGTCTACAGAGAACGTGGGAGTTCTTGAAGGGTCTACAGAGAACGTGAGAGAAGTGCTGGAAGGGTCTACAGAGAATGTGACGGGAGTTCTAGAAGGGTCTACAGAGAACGTGGGAGAAGTTCTGGAAGGGTCTACAGAGAACGTGGGAGGAGTTCTGGAAGGGTCTACAATGAACATGAGAGGAGTTCTGGAAGGGTCTATAGAGAATGTGAGAGAAGTTCTGGAAGGGTCTACAGAGAACGTGGGAGTTCTTGAAGGGTCTACAGAGAATGTGAGAGGTGACCTAGAAAGGTAAATGGAGAAAGCGGGAAGAGTTCTGAAGGGGGCGACGGACATGTTAGAAGAGACAGAACAGTTTGCTGAATAGTGTGACTCACCCGCTCGTAGAAGTCTCCTTTAATCAAGGCAGCGGTGACCCTCCCAACGAGCTCGGAATCGGTCAGAAGCTGTTCTCGGCTCATACACAAACGGGCCGCTTTTGCCGGAAGTCCGGAACGCAGATACATATTGACAGCTGAGACAAAGTCGCCTTCTTGTTCTCGCACCTCGCCCGCTTTCTCCTCCTGCTGACTGTCCGACAAGTACCGCAGATAGTTGCGCTTCAGACTCTCCAGCTCAGGGTGACCCTATCGGAGGACGGACAAGACAATGGGGTCAGAGATAAATAAAGGTCACCAGGATTATCTGCAGAACGTCCACCAGCAGAGGAGGACAATCTGGAAGGAGAGGACACATTATGGAGGACACAGAGTATCAGGAGCTGCTACAAAGAAGATTTCTCACACCGGCTCCCCTCCCTCCAGCACAGAGGGGACCATTTGTACATTTCAGAGATGTCAACGCTTTCTATCTCACGGGACTTTTCCAGCTTTTCTCCGATCTATAAAAGTCCAACATACAAAGCTGTGATGACTGCAAAACACAGGCCGCACATCGATGGTCTCAGAGCTTCCATAGATCTTTTCTGTTCCAGAGGATATGCAGAAAAAAGCTGAACCTGAGATCTATGCATGCTGACGCATTTCACTCCAAGTCTGGATGTAGACAATGATCAAACCCATCTTATGGTGAAACGCACCAGTGTCTGGAGGTCCGAGGCGGCGCTTCTTTTACCAATGTGGCCTGGGTCCAACCACAGTGAGCCTACCACCCTATTTATCCCACCAGTCCCTACCATGTCCCCTCTCCCCACCACCCTCAGTCTCTTACCCAGAAGATTCCTTGTTGGTGAAGGTTGCAGCTCTTACCCGGGCGGGCTTGTGCAGCAAGACTGAACGCCTGATGAGTGACCAGAGGGAGGCGACGGATCACAAACATTTATATAATGAGGACAGTCAGTGTGAAAGGGCCACTGCCATACTGCCTGTGTGGGGAGATCACACTACATACACCTATATACACAGAGGCCCCTCCTCTATATACTGCCTGGATGGGGAGATCACACTACATACACCTATATACACAGAGGCCCCTCCTCTATATACTGCCTGGATGGGGAGATCACACTACATACACCTATATACACAGAGGCCCCTCCTCTATATACTGCATGTGTGGGGAGATCACACTACATACACAGAGGCCCCTCCTCTAAATACCGTCTGGTGTGGGGGGATCACACTACATACACAGAGGCCGCTCTTCTATATACCGTCTGGTGTGGGGGGATCACACTACATACACCTATATACACAGAGGCCCCTCCTCTATATACTGCATGTGTGGGGAGATCACACTACATACACAGAGGCCCCTCCTCTAAATACCGTCTGGTGCGGGAAGATCACACTACATACACAGAGGCCCCTCCTCTATATACCGCCTGGGTGGGGAGATAACACTACATACACAGAGGCCCCTCCTCTAAATACCGTCTGGTGCGGGAAGATCACACTACATACACAGAGGCCCCTCCTCTATATACCGTCTGGTGCGGGGAGATCACACTACATACACAGAGGCCCCTCCTCTATATACCGCCTGGATGGAGAGATCAGACTACATACACCTACATACACAGAGGCCCCTCCTCTATATACCGTCTGGATGGAGAGATCACACTACATACACCTATATACACAGAGGCCCCTCCTCTATATACCGTCTGGATGGGGAGATCACACTACATACACCTATATACACAGAGGCCCCTCCTCTATTTACTGCCTGGGTGGGGAGATCACACTACATACACCTATATACACAGAGGCCCCTCCTCTATATACCGCCTGGGTGGGGAGATCACACTACATACACAGAGGCCCCTCCTCTAAATACCGTCTGGTGTGGGGAGATCACACTACATACACAGAGGCCCCTCCTCTATATACCGCCTGGGTGGGGAGATAACACTACATACACAGAGGCCCCTCCTCTAAATACCGTCTGGTGCGGGAAGATCACACTACATACACAGAGGCCCCTCCTCTATATACCGCCTGGGTGGGGAGATCAGACTACATACACAGCATACCTTGGCTTCTGCTACAGCGATACATTCATCCCACATGTGTAATTCCTGGTACATGCCCATGGCCTCGGTCACTGCGTTCTACAGGTGAGAGAAAACAACTTACATCCCATCAAATATATAAAAGTATAAAATGAAAGTTGAGGAGCAGACGGCTTGTTGTCACAGCACGCGGGGATAGTACAGCAGCAATAATCCATTCGACCCTTTGTAGGTTCTCAGCCCGTCTGCACCCCTCGGGGACTATAACAAGCTGTATAAAATGCTGTGTGCAGTACCAGGACCCCGCACAGCCCCTCACCTGCTCCAGGTAGATCATCTCAGCCAGTTTGTAGTTGTGCTCCAGCATGGCCAGCCGGGCCTGTACCTTGTAATTCTTGGTGCCATCTCCACCCTGGAAGCAGAGCATTGTGGTTAGCGTGCTACATCCCTGGATTACCCTGCTGGGAGCGCATCAGCATGGAGGGAGGCTTTACAGGGGTATTCACAGGAGGGTGAAGGGTTTGGGGAAGGGCGGAGAAGGGACCGATCTGGGACAACATTGCTGATTGGGAACAATACACCAATTCCGCTCACTTTCCGGTTCAGTGACGTTGTCCCAGATTGTTCCCTTCTCCAAACTCTTCACCCTTCTGTGAAAAACCCTGTTAGTGTTTCCCAGGGCCATGGATAGGGGGATACAACCCGTCCTCATGTACAGGACCCAAACACCAATCACACACCAGGGCCCTGGCAGCTGCACCAATCACAAGCCAGTACCAATGACATAACCAGCCATCAGCGGCACCAATCACACCTCAATACCAATGACATAACCAGCCATCAGCGGCACCAATCACACCTCAATACCAATGACATAACCAGCCATCAGCGGCACCAATCACACCTCAATACCAATGACATAACCAGCCATCAGCGGCACCAATCACACCTCAATACCAATGACATAACCAGCCATCAGCGGCACCAATCACACCTCAATACCAATGACATAACCAGCCATCAGCGGCACCAATCACACCTCAATACCAATGACATAACCAGCCATCAGCGGCACCAATCACACCTCAATACCAATGACATAACCAGCCATCAGCGGCACCAATCACACCTCAATACCAATGACATAACCAGCCATCAGCGGCACCAATCACACCTCAATACCAATGACATAACCAGCCATCAGCGGCACCAATCACACCTCAATACCAATGACATAACCAGCCATCAGCGGCACCAATCACACCTCAATACCAATGACATAACCAGCCATCAGCGGCACCAATCACACCTCAATACCAATGACATAACCAGCCATCAGCGGCACCAATCACACCTCAATACCAATGACATAACCAGCCATCAGCGGCACCAATCACACCTCAATACCAATGACATAACCAGCCATCAGCGGCACCAATCACACCTCAATACCAATGACATAACCAGCCATCAGCGGCACCAATCACACCTCAATACCAATGACATAACCAGCCATCAGCGGCACCAATCACACCTCAATACCAATGACATAACCAGCCATCAGCGGCACCAATCACACCTCAATACCAATGACATAACCAGCCATCAGCGGCACCAATCACACCTCAATACCAATGACATAACCAGCCATCAGCGGCACCAATCACACCTCAATACCAATGACATAACCAGCCATCAGCGGCACCAATCACACCTCAATACCAATGACATAACCAGCCATCAGCGGCACCAATCACACCTCAATACCAATGACATAACCAGCCATCAGCGGCACCAATCACACCTCAATACCAATGACATAACCAGCCATCAGCGGCACCAATCACACCTCAATACCAATGACATAACCAGCCATCAGCGGCACCAATCACACCTCAATACCAATGACATAACCAGCCATCAGCGGCACCAATCACACCTCAATACCAATGACATAACCAGCCATCAGCGGCACCAATCACACCTCAATACCAATGACATAACCAGCCATCAGCGGCACCAATCACACCTCAATACCAATGACATAACCAGCCATCAGCGGCACCAATCACACCTCAATACCAATGACATAACCAGCCATCAGCGGCACCAATCACACCTCAATACCAATGACATAACCAGCCATCAGCGGCACCAATCACACCTCAATACCAATGACATAACCAGCCATCAGCGGCACCAATCACACCTCAATACCAATGACATAACCAGCCATCAGCGGCACCAATCACACCTCAATACCAATGACATAACCAGCCATCAGCGGCACCAATCACACCTCAATACCAATGACATAACCAGCCATCAGCGGCACCAATCACACCTCAATACCAATGACATAACCAGCCATCAGCGGCACCAATCACACCTCAATACCAATGACATAACCAGCCATCAGCGGCACCAATCACACCTCAATACCAATGACATAACCAGCCATCAGCGGCACCAATCACACCTCAATACCAATGACATAACCAGCCATCAGCGGCACCAATCACACCTCAATACCAATGACATAACCAGCCATCAGCGGCACCAATCACACCTCAATACCAATGACATAACCAGCCATCAGCGGCACCAATCACACCTCAATACCAATGACATAACCAGCCATCAGCGGCACCAATCACACCTCAATACCAATGACATAACCAGCCATCAGCGGCACCAATCACACCTCAATACCAATGACATAACCAGCCATCAGCGGCACCAATCACACCTCAATACCAATGACATAACCAGCCATCAGCGGCACCAATCACACCTCAATACCAATGACATAACCAGCCATCAGCGGCACCAATCACACCTCAATACCAATGACATAACCAGCCATCAGCGGCACCAATCACACCTCAATACCAATGACATAACCAGCCATCAGCGGCACCAATCACACCTCAATACCAATGACATAACCAGCCATCAGCGGCACCAATCACACCTCAATACCAATGACATAACCAGCCATCAGCGGCACCAATCACACCTCAATACCAATGACATAACCAGCCATCAGCGGCACCAATCACACCTCAATACCAATGACATAACCAGCCATCAGCGGCACCAATCACACCTCAATACCAATGACATAACCAGCCATCAGCGGCACCAATCACACCTCAATACCAATGACATAACCAGCCATCAGCGGCACCAATCACACCTCAATACCAATGACATAACCAGCCATCAGCGGCACCAATCACACCTCAATACCAATGACATAACCAGCCATCAGCGGCACCAATCACACCTCAATACCAATGACATAACCAGCCATCAGCGGCACCAATCACACCTCAATACCAATGACATAACCAGCCATCAGCGGCACCAATCACACCTCAATACCAATGACATAACCAGCCATCAGCGGCACCAATCACACCTCAATACCAATGACATAACCAGCCATCAGCGGCACCAATCACACCCCAATACCAATGACATAACCACCCATCAGCTGCACCAATCCCAGACCAGGAAGATGTGACATCTATGTGCTTATCAATGGATCAGGTTTGGTTGTATAAGGACAGCATTCATGTAACCCCCTGGATGAAGGACACAGAGAACCATATGACATAACCGGGCTTCATTCCTAAAGCTCAATCCCGAACTCAGCAGCCAGGACCTGAATGTGCACAAATGTTCCTTCCCAGGAATCTACAATGTTACAAGTATGACAAGATCCACAGGCTGTTATATCTCTTAGAACCCAGGGATCTTGCCATGCTTGTGACATTGTAGATTCCTGGGAACAAACCTTTTTACATGGAGGTCCTGGCTGTTGAGCGCGGCTTTACATACATTGGATTACTAGTGACAGCCGCGGCATGCCTCTGCCGGCCAGCACCTGGCCTTGTGGATGGGACTGAGGAGTCGGGGCATATGAATGTGATTGATGGCCTCTTCACAAACCTTTCTTAATCCCGCACTGTCACATGACTCTCCTATTTCAGAAAAATTTGAATAAACGTCGTCATCCAGCTTAGCGGATACTCACATACTCAGCCGCCGACTGCTCTGCAATCTCATTGGTCTCCCGCAGGAATTTGGCTTTGGTGACGTCTCCCAGGGCCGCAAAACATCTGAAAGAAGGACGATCGTGTGTGATTCCTTAACACGGCTGTTCTATAGTACAAGGCTGCCAACGGCTTCATTCACCTTCATTACAAATAACATATCCCAGTACAGGCCTCCCAACACTACCACTTCTATCACATAATATATCCCAGTACAGGCCTCCCAACACTACCACTTCCATCACATAACATATCCCAGTACAGACCTCCCAACACTACCACTTCCATCACATAACATATCCCAGTACAGGCCTCCCAGCACTACCACTTCCATCACATAACATATCCCAGTACAGGCCTCCCAACACTACCACTTCCATCACATAATATATCTCAGTACAGGCCTCCCAACACTACCACTTCCATCACATAACATATCCCAGTACAGGCCTCCCAGCACTACCACTTCCATCACATAACATATCCCAGTACAGGCCTCCCAACACTACCACTTCCATCACATAACATATCCCAGTACAGACCTCCCAACACTACCACTTCCATCACATAACATATCCCAGTACAGACCTCCCAACACTACCACTTCCATCACATAACATATCCCAGTACAGACCTCCCAACACTACCACTTCCACCAAAAGCTGCCCACTCACCTCTCGGCCACATGCAGATGGTGGCCCTCCAGGGCCAGTTTGCTGAGGGTCTTCCACATTGCCTCGGTCTCTGAGGACATCTCCAGAGTCTCCAGGAAAGCTGCAGCTCTGTGTACCGTGGAGAGGAGGATGATGAGTGTTATTGGTCATAGACTGATGGAATACTTCCATTCCCTAGAATAACATTGTACTTGGAGCCCTATGGGAGCCGGGGCAGAGCGGACATTGTACCTGTAGTAGTCTCCGTCATCAATGGCGGTACCAAACTCTATGAGGCCTTCGTCCAGGGTGTACGATATCGTATTAACCCCTTCAGTGACAGTCACTTCAGTCTTTCCTTCATTTCTCACCAGGTCCACAATGTCCCCCTATTGTAGTGAGAAGAAGACACGTCATCCACCTAGCCCAGTGGTTCTCAACCTTTCTAGGGCCGGGACCCCTTGGTATCATTTGCCAAGTTGTGGTGACCCCCAAACGTAAAATTGAGTGATGCACCAATACTAGTACCTGTGTGGGCTCTCAGGAGGCTCTGCGGGCTCTCAGTTGGTTAGTGGGACTCTCTGGTGGCATCCAGTGCGTGCTCTGTGGCGCCCAGTGTGGGCTCTGTGGTGCCCAGTGCGGGCTCTGTGGTGATCAAGCACTCACCTCCCCTCACTCCTGCCTGCTCCCCTCTCTCTGATCCTCCCCGGCCACTGCAGGGCCATCTAGGAAAACTGACACTGCTGCGCTAGGAGGAGGCTGAGGAGCCTCTTACCTGGAGCAGCACATGGGGACCCCCTCAACTGTGGGTTGCGACCC